CTTTAATCATTGTTTGCTGCAGTCTGCACATACTGACTAAGGGAGTATATTGTCCAGCAAAAGCCATTCATAGCCTGGGATGCTCTGCCCAGCTAGCTGCAGATGTCTGGGTGACTTGGGGGCTGAGCCAGAAGTACAGAAGGGAATTCAAAGGGAGGCTTCTCATTCTCAATTCAAGAATTGTGGAGAGGCTTGAGAGATGAGGTGGAAGAAGGAGACACACTGACTCCAGCCTGTGGGAAACCTGTGGCAGAACTGAGTTTTCTGAGCTGCAAGTGGTCAAAGAATAGGACATAACAATCTGTAATAAAGTTTTCTTCTGTCTGCCAAAAATCTATAGGTGATAAGGACACATGGCTTCACTGCTGACACACAATTTCTAATGTTGTACAAAGCTGAATATAAATCCTTAGAAGGACTTTATGACCTTCAGAGTCATGGGGACTCTGAAAATAACATTTTTATCACATATGGCTAACAGAAAGAGTTATTTCCCCTTCAAAACTTAGGTCATTAAGACAAAATCCTAGGAGGGATTTTTACAGTTTTCCAGCCTCAAACACTGAAAGACAGTGAATACTGAAATTTTGAAGGTGTGGGTTTCAGACTGTTGTCTGTGAAAGCAAGGTTAGAGAAATAAGTGTTTTTCCATCTTAGCAGTTCATACAAATTAATTGGTTACTCCATCTATAATAGTATGCGTGCAGATTTTTAATGAAGTGGTGTGTGGATGAGATTTATTTGTAATGCAGCCAAGTTAATTTCAGCTACTTTGCTAATATGAGTGGGAAACAGCCTTAAACAGAAAAGAAAAAACAATTGCAAGAAAAAACACATGAACAAAGAAAAACCTTTGCACTAATGCATATTTAGAATTTCAGATTGCGGTCAGGCTTACAACAGCATCACAGACAATTCATAGAGAAATGTCAATACTGGAAACTAATGCTCAAAAACACTTTGTTAACAACTATTGTAGTGGATTCCTTGGCTAGTAACATAACCAGGAAAATAAGCAATTCACTTGGAGTCATATCACTTGGGATTTTAGGTTTTCTTATAGCTGCAAACAGATAAAGCATTTGTTGGCAGAGAAATATGGTGTTTTAAGTGTTTTAGAGACAGTGACTTGTTCATTGTGTTTAGAAAAGTTTCCTATGCAGAAAATAAACAGACCTATCTCAAGCATCTGTCCAAGTATGTTCAGAGTAGATTGAGATGATGAACTTCATAGCAAAGCAACAATTATTTTTGGAAACTTATATAATAAAATCAATTCCCTTTCACCCTGGAGAGTGGTTTTAGAAAGGAGAGCAGGCATACCACCACTAATCCTAGAAAGTCCTTCACCTACTGGCATGCTGACAGGCAATTTTAAGAGGTGATGCTGCATACAAATGGTAAGTCTTATCATGCTGAAGTTAAATCTGTAATGATTTGTTTGTTCTTATGTATTATTGATTTGTCACTAAAAAAAACACCAAGCCTCTAGGAAAAATTTGAAACACCCTGGCAATAACCATCCATCTTCATGTATGTTTATAAATGAATGGAGTGTGTTAATTGTTTGCAGTTCATAATAATCTGGAAGGCTTATATCTCTCTGTAGGCTATTCTGAACCTTTGTTTTTGCTGTCTTTTTACAATAATAGGCAGGAACACAGGGCCAGCCTCATGAGCAATTTAACTGTATACACCAAGAAGGATTGCTGAGGCTGATCACAGCATTCTGTTACTTGATTCCTAATCAGAGATAAACACTCTCAAAGGGTCAAAAGGCAAGCAAAAAGGAGAAGGAGAACAGTTACAGGTTGAGAATAGGGGTCCTTGTCCTTGAGTTTTTTGCTCACTGGTAATTGTCATTGAAGAATTACTTTTAAATCTCCTGTTGATTTTTTAGCATAATTAAATTTAGAATAAAGTAAATGTGGTGCTGTGTAAACTGGATGAGTAGTTGGGGTTTTGGTGTTAGATCAAAAGTGCTGACATTAGAAAATAATGAAATATTTTAGCTATGTCCAGATTGTCAAGTGAATTCCTGTACAGAGTTGGGTGGAATTTATTACTGAAGCAAAAATCTTAGGTGTGCCCTTTGACAAGGTTGCAAAACACGCAATAAATTATGATTTATTATAGAACACTTTCCTAGATAAGAAAACAGATGAACTGTAGTGCAAATGTATCAACTGTCATCTAGCCCAAATGATCTTGAACCCTGCATGATAGACCTTAGTTCAGTAGTTCTGCTCATTTGTTTCCTGGTGCATGGGTTTCTCTATTACTCATTTTCTTTAAGGTGGGCCAAAAATTGTGAAATCTTGGCATTTCTATTGATAAATCACACCTGCAAAGTTATTTACTGTCAAAGTGATGATGAAGAAAAATATTTACAGCCTTGCCATCTAAGGAGAATGAGCTGATAACAACTGCAGTTTCCTGAAAGACTTATTTTGTTTTGCATATTGACAAAGCAAAGAGCTTTATAAAGGACAAAAGGCACCTCCAAGAAAAATGTGCTTGCTTTTAGATGCAGTGTTTCAGACTGGATTACCTTTGTAAATATTTGCCTACTTCTTTTACTGTTATTTTGAGGAAGGAAACAGCCACTTTTTTGTAAACAGTGGCAAGGAGTGAATGAGATGTGGTAACTTGGCACAGCCTTTGTGCCGATGCAAAACACTTACTACAATTAACACAGTGCATACGAAATGCATTGCTGGGATCTTTGGAATCATGGCTACATGCCATGTAATCTCATGTTAAAACAGTGTTGCCACAGGTATGTGTGGCAAACCATTGCAAAGCCAGCAAGTTCTTCTGTGGGATGTTCATGTTAGCTGTAATATCTGATTCAATGATAATTCAGTGGGAAAGTGTTCTTTGTTACTGTCCTTATTGTGATGTAAAAACTTCTCATTGTTTAGTAGTATCTCATAAAAAGAATATGAACTCTCTGTCTCACATCGGAAATTCTAGCATTTTTAAGATAACATGTATAAGAAGGATAAAGCTCAGCTGTCTTACACATAATTTTCATTGCTATGCAGGACTATTTTTTTAAAGGCCTGATACATCATAGGATATTGGTTAGTAAATTCGACAGAAATATAGCCTAATAAAAGTTTACTAAAATAATGAATTTGCTACACTAAGGGTTGCTTTTAAAACAATGTGCTTTGTGAAACTACCAGTCAACTATGCCAAGCATCCTGTAGGGTGTGATAACATCAAGTCTTCTAAGAATCTGTGGCACCTACAGACAACCCACATGTTGATTCTGACCCACCTGGGCAATCTACCAGCGGGGGAATGGAGACAGGAGGAGAGACAGGACAAAGACAACAAAGGACTAGAATCAACAAAGACCTCCTCCAGGAGACCATCGAGCACGCATAATACAAATATAGCAAATTCCAGAAAATGAAATGACTATGTAACAGAATTCTGGGAACTCATTGACATAAAACTGAATATGCATGTTTTTGGTGTATATTAGTTGGGGTGTTTCACTAACTCATTGGAGCACTCATGGTGGAGAATCCCCAGTGCTGCCCAACGCTGCAATGAAGAATGCCTGCTCAATAACAGCTTGTTTGTTGTTATTAGGTCTAGATCTCAGAATCCTTACCCAGCTGCACCAGCTTCCCACTTCGGTGAGGAGTGTTAGAAAGCAAGGGGGTTTGGAAGCTGCAAAATTTTTGTATCAGGCCCTTCCAGCTTCATGTAAAACTTGTGGTTTAAACTGTTGTACATACTTATGTTCATATTCTAGATTATACAGCCAGTGTTGTGTTAGAGCTTCTCCATGGAAATACCATCTCGGGTGTGCTGATGTTGCAGAACATATAAGAACATCTGTATTAAATTTTCAAAAGGCCTACAGAAACAAGAGTCTTTCAGAAAATGAAGATTTTCCAGTACATTAAATCTGGACTGTGTTTATGTTCATTTTTCTGGAGAAGATTATTCTATTCCAGAAATACCCTCCTCTTTCAAGCAGAAGACAAATGTTCAGGTTAGGCTGTCTGATAGCAATTGGTACTGGGTAAGTAAAGATCTTGATCTTTCTTGTATATAGTTGGCCCAGATTTAGTGTGCAATAGTATCTCTATCTCCTGAACTACTCCTTTATCTGTGGTAAAACACATTTTCACA